ATCAACTGAAATCGACTGACCGAAATGAGGAGCCGTCGTAGAAGCCGAAACTAGCGATGGAGCACAACAGCGTCGCCATGGAACCTAAACCGGCCAGGTGAGGTGTTTTTGGCCCATTTTGGCTGTTTTTCATGAATTTCCATGTTATTTTACGTACATTTTAGTTTTAGCAAAAAATCAAAGAAATCCAGGAACTGGGAACTGCCGAAAAGCGTTGTGAAAATGGCAGTGTTTCCGACATCGACCCAAGGTAAGTATCTCTCACCATTTCTCCTGTTACAGTTAGATTAAAGTCAATTAATAATCAACAAAAAAATTTAAATGGTTGGCGATCCCCTGATTAATTAAATACAGGTTACTGATGAAGCCAGTAACCGGTCAGTTTATAATTGTCCCTAGCTTATTCGTGTTGTCTATTTATTGTTATATTACCTTAATTGCTTATCGTTACTTCATTTTATTGTAGTGTACTTTAATTTATTTTTTATTCTTCTTGTCTATTTAGTTTACTCAAACCTTTTTCATTTTTATTCTGTTACATCAGTTTATTAATTACGCTTCTTGAACAGTTGGGTTTTAATTTAATATCGCTTCATTAGTTGATCATTTCGTTTTCTTGTAATTGCGAAATATGAGTTTTGTACATATTTGGTGGCTAGATAGTAATGAAAACTTGTATGTGTAAGCAACGTTGTTAAATTAAATGGCTTAATGGGTGTCATAAAAAATAATGTACGAACTTGATACATAGAGTAAACCCTACCATGGACATTATCCTCAGTCGAACGGGGCTGAGAAATTTCATACCGGAAGAAATTGGGAATTGGTTTGATTACACCCATTACTATATGGGATATTGAGGCGGTGGTATATTTGGCACCCATTATTAGATGGGGTATAGGAACGGCCGTCTGATTAATTGAATGAATGTTTGGTCCACGTGTAGTGGGGACCTCTATTGACCCTCAGTGGCATTGGTAAGTAAGTAAAAATGGTAAAAATTAATTATTATTGGTCTTTTAAAATGCATAACGCGAATTACTATTTTGATTCTAATTTTCATAAATGACATTCGAGAAATTACAGGTGAGTAAAGAATTAATATTTTTAGTTAAATGAATTTATTCAAGAAAGAAAAATGAGTTCTATTAGTTTTTTTATGATTTATACAAATATTTAATTTTCTGTATCAGTAGTAAGATATTTTTACTGAGTTAGTGTAACTCACTCCTTTATTATTAATCATTTTATATCAGGACGACCAATACCCAAATCCTAAGCAGTAAGAAAACTAATTAGAAGGTTGCCTCTCATTCCTCCAGTTGCGCAATATAAATTGATCATATAAGTTTTCTGTATTATACTTTTTCATTTATGTTCTTTAAGGGCATTTTTATACCTTTATTGGGCATTTTAATTAAACATAAGGAATGTAACTCTAAATTCTAAACTATTTCCGCAAATTAATAAATTTTAGTATTATTTTATTACTAATATTCTAAACTTTACACAATTGATTATGGTTCTTGATTTATGGTACATCAAATTAACCTTTTTCTGCGTAGACTCTCTTTTTTTTTTTGCCAGAGAATGGATATGGGGCAGCCATTTTTCATTTCCAATCTTGGCAACCGCTGCAACTGCAGTTCAAATAGTCATCAGCAACGAATTTGCTCCGTTCATGGACTGATTTCAATACAGACTAGCTCTTGATAATACATATTCTGGATGAAGGATTATCCCAATTCAATTCAGTATACGAAGATCGATATCTGGTAAAGAACAAAACTTGGTTTTGTTCCGTGGCGACCACCATTGATGTTGTCTAGGAGTCGTCCATGACTGTCACGGAAAACTTCAAAAACTGTATTATGAGTATCAACATAAACGTAAAATGTTAGACCCGATCCAGTATTATTTCTAAAAGAATTGCTGGGAAACAAGAAATAGTTTAATCTTATGCAAGCTATGCATGTTAAAAGTTTTCAGGAACCATCGTTATGAGTTATCTCTTAACATGAACAGCATACAGGGTTAATCACCATGGATGCTTGCAAACAAGAACCCAAAAGAACCACTAATGAAATAGTTACGGGTCATATTTGGAGCAAATCCAGAAATGACATAAAATTCAAACGCAAATCTGCATTTAGTTTAACTAAGAGAAATATAAATTCTATTAGGATGACAAAAAAAAAAGAAAATTGAGCATGTATGGAACTCCATATGAAATTGGAAAAATACAGTGCAATTTCCATCAACATAAATAGACTTAAAATACCCTTTTTCTAATTCCATATGAAATTCCATAAGAATTCAATCGTTATTAATTTACATAGCACTTTCATTATCTTCTAATTAAAATACGTGCAAATTTTGAAAATGAATTTCACTAAAATTTTGAATTTATTCCAAACATAACCTTTAACTAGGTGATGGTGTATGTCATTTTATGATGATGAAAAAATGAACCTCATATAGAATTCTATATAGAATTGAAAAAGTAGTATCATGTAAAATTTAATAAATTTGTTTCCAATTCCATATAAAAATTCCGTATGGTTTCAACTTTAATCATGTTATAGAGGAATTTCACCATTTTCTTAATGTACATTTGCAAATGAATTCCATAAGAATTTTGGATTTATTCCAAACATAGCCATAAACTGTCTCTGCTCACTGATTGATCTGAAGATTTAATAACCCACATTTCACCTTGGAGGAAATTAACATTTATTGATCACCCAACTTAAATTTTCAATATCGCAATAGGCTACTAAAGTTAAAATCCTAATGCAACTTCAACTAATTTTTAAGACCTTCAGCTGCAATATAGAGTACCTCTGCATGGAAAACATGAAGCTTCAGGTCCTCGGAAAAAGTTCTCCGACTCCCCAGGGCTCTTATTGTCCTCCTCTCTCCCTTTTGCCTTCTTCCTCTTACTCCATGTAGTTGAGAGAGAAATGGAAATCTGGGCAAGGATCAAAATGCCAAGATTGATCCTGAAACTGTCAGTGGGACCATGAAGGTTGTCTCTTGTGCCAAATTTGCATAAACAGGCTGCAAGCATAAGGATGAGGATTCAACAGTAATAATTTCAATTAAATATAACGGCCAATCAGAGACTGCAGGAGCCCTTCAAGTGCCAAGCACCTAAGTCATTTAGATCAATTAGAGAAGGAAAATTGACTTTCCTTGTATGGAGGGCCTCTGCGTTCATATCAATGAGATTGTTTCTTTGACCAATTTTGCATAAACAGGCAGAAACAGGCAGCTACAATTGGATGCAGATTCAGCTCTAATCAGCTCATTAAACATAGCTGCCAACCAGAGACTGCAGAAGCCCTTGAATTGCCATGCACCCAAGTCAGTTAAGATCAATTGGAGAAAAATCCATTTTCCTTGCATCGGGGCATACTCTAGGTAAGAAAAATCTTCCATTGAAAAGTAGCATTGCTTCCCGGAAACATTTACTAAAATGCATGCCAGTGATTAAGCATGACTGATTGACAGCTTTAATGTGTGCCTGATACATGCTTCATGCAAATTTTTTCTTCATTCCATTACTGGCATAAAGTCCTGCACTCGAGAATTTGTTAGAAACTTAAAGATACATGATAAAATCACCGAGGAAAATCTCAAATCAGGAAAACAATGAATTAGGCATGCTGCTGATGTGCTGTTAGAAGTCTAAAACCAGGAAGACTTGGGATTTTAAATCATAACTGAGAATATCAAGGCTGTCATATTGGTTAGGCTCATACAATTTGCAGTCATTTGATCGTTGAATGCACACGAGAAGATCAAAATTAATCTGAGACTTCCCAGAACAGTTACAAACATGCACTCAAGTATTTTAGTGAAAGCTTCTAAAAGTACTTTAAGAAACAGGATCATCTTCAGTTCTCCTCAATAATAAAAAACATGGACAGTGTATTTAATTTATGAGAGGATGATTTGATGAACATTGCACCATAATCACCTTAGAAGGTATACCATATTTTTAACCACCAAACTAAACTGTCTCAGATAATTGAAATGTGTAGAGTTATTTGCCTCATCCAAGTCATTGCCTGCTCAAAAATTTTCAGGGCATCTCCTATTTTATAGGCTCTTTCTTTTTTTCTTTATTTGAAAAATTGGGCAACACTAGAAATCTTCAAAACCATGAACAAATGAAAGGGCATGAACCATGGTAAGAAAAGGTCCTAGAACTAAAAAGAAAGATATATTTGTTTACTTTCAAGGGATCTTAGTGAAAGTAATGATTGATGGATACAAGATATCAATTGTAATATTAATGTAGGGCCACTTGGGAGTTCATGAAAAAATTATGTGTACAATTTGAGAGTATCTTCAAGTTGCCTTCAACTTTAGATTAAGAAAAATGACAACCTTATCTCCAATTAAAAGTTTTGATCATTTTGTTCCTTGAGATATGAGGGAATTATCTGCTGGTATTGTACTAGCAATATTTTATACGCGTTGCACATGTTTCATAAAGGTGATCTTGGAAAGTTAGACTAATTCTAAGATTGGTGAATCAAAATCTGAAATCAAACTCTTTCCTGGAGATCAAATAAAAAATTAGAAAAGTAAAATGCAGTTAAGAGGTATGCCAAATGATCAATTTGCTCTTATAGTGCATGAGCACAAGTGTTATATGTAAAAAATAAACGGAATCTGTTATTTTTATAATTTAAGGAATAAAACGCCATAGTTTTACATTGTTATGAAAAACTGCTCAGCAATTTGTCTCACTTAAAAGTTTAAAATAGAAACTAGTGGCTGGCTGGCTGCAGCAAATTAGATAAAACAAGAAATGTTTTAGCTTAACATTTTCACAACCATGTTCTAACAATTACTGTAACAGAACTTTCCCAACATCCAATAAAGAAACTTAATTTAGTTTTCTTAATTGAAGAAAGAACTAAGAAATCAACAAGGAGAGGACAAGTTTACCTCGTGACTCATCTTGAATTGTTTGATCTTATTCTCATCCCCAGAATATATAGTTTTTAACCCATTAAGGCCTTCTGGCAGGAGGTGTTTAGCTTCCATTTCCCTGTGTAACTTCATTGCCAATTGATCTTTGCCAGACTGCTTAAGTCCATTATAAAGCTCAGATAGGATGACTGAATCGGGAGTTATTGATCTATCGAGAATTTCCCCCAAGACTTCGACTGCTCCTACAAAATCCTCATTCTTACAGAAGGCAGAAACCATCATATTTAATATATGATCATTTGGGTAACAACCACTCCCTTGTCATGCTTTTATATAGCTGGAAAGCACGGTCGGGATTTTTCCTTACACATTGCCCACTGATAAGTGCAGAAAAGGTGGAGGCATTTGGGACTAAGTTCTCCTTATCAAGTTCTCTGACAAGATATGCAGCTTTCTTTGTCTTACCCTCCCTGCAAAGTCCCAGAATCAACGCATTGTAAGTCAAGATATCGGCCTTCACTCCATTGCTGGCCATCTCATCATAAAGCCTGCTTGCCATCTCACAATAACCCACTTGGCTGAAACCATTTATCAGGGTATTATAAGTTATGGTGTTTGGAGACACATTAATTGCTTTCATCTCACTGAAAACTTTGCTTGCTTCGTTTAACTTCCCTTCCTTACAAAATCCATGGATGAGAGTGTTATAAGTAACCACATTTGGTTGCAACCCGTTGTTCCCCATTGAGTTCTTAAGCTTCATAGCCAAACCCAGGAGACCCTTGTTACAGTGCCCTGCAATCAAAGTATTGTATGATGGAACAGTAGGACTAAAACCCAGTCTCTCCATATCCCCAAACACCTCAAGCGCCTTATCTAGTTTCCCAGATTTACAGTAAGCATCCATAACCATATTGAGAGTATAGACATTTGGTGATATCCTGCATCGCTTCATTTCTCTATAGAACAAGAGAGCAATATCTACCCTGTGTAAATCAAGCAGTGAGCTTATATATGCATTGCATGACTCAACAGTTGGCAAGAACCCAAAAATCTTCATTTGAGAAAAAGTATCGGTGGCATGTCTAAATTTCTTCTTATGGGCGTAGAACTTAAACAACGAATCAAAAACCCGAGGCGAAGAATCACATAGTCGATAAGAATAAAGTATTGCGTCCAACAATTTAGCAGGCAAATCCAACTGACCAGTCACAAAGGTAATCCTCAAAATGGACTCGGCTGACTTGAATTTCCGGTTTTTAGTGAGTATGTGAAGCATTATGGAAAGGGTTTCAAGGGACTGAAAACTGGGGTTTTGGGTTTTAACCCAATTGAAGAATTCCAAGGAAAGAACATGGTCCTTCTGGATCTTCACCAGAATGTGGTTGACTCTAGACGGAGTCAAATAGGCAGAAAGTTCACTGAGCTTATCCCAGTCAGAATGAATTAGGTGGCTATGCGCAACATTGACAAAATCAAGATCTTGGCCTTTAGGTTCAGGCATTTTTCTGTGGGGTACCGGAATTGGTTTCCAATTCCTTGTGCCCAAGTTCCCAGAAAATATAGGTTTTGCAGAAGCCGAATTCACGGAAACATAATCAAGCACAGTTGAAAATCGACGAAGCAGAAAATAATCCGTACCACTTAACCCAAGTGGCAGAGAAACTGAAATTCTCATCTCATCAGGCCTCTTTAGATATTTCTTGAAGCAAGAAAAGCGTTAAAAACAACTGATTAGCAGAGGATAACCTTCACTCCTAATTCAGCAAGTAAATAAAACCTCGTGTCATTAAATTAGACGAATCAAGAGGGTATAGATCATAGTTTGGTCATAAATGTATATATATATATAGATAGATAGAGAGAGAGAGAGAGAGAGAGAGAGAGAGAGAGAGAGAAGGAACTTGAACACCACCAAAGTGAAGCCATCATCCGTCACAGAAGGAGATGAGATTTAAGAGGTCACACCGCAAAGAAGTAGCATCAGTGGGGCTAGGTGAGCGGGCAGGACTTCAGCAAAGAGAACAATCCAACAGAAACTGAGGATGATCTTTCATCTTCTTCTGCAACTTTTAGTTTAGTTTAGTTTAGTTCAGTCTAGTTTTGTTTTTTTTTTTTTCTTTTTTTTCTTTCCCCTTTTCTTTCTTTTGGTTTATGTTATCTTTAAAATTTAGATCTCAATCTTTCCATAAAATTTTAATTTTGACTTGTTAAACCTAATAAAAATTACAACGTATTATACATATTTTTTAGTAAAAATAAATTGAAAATTTGGATATCAATTTGTATACGTTATTAATTTCTTGATTAGATAACTTCATTACTCAACAAAATTAAATATTTTTAAATTAAAATATATAATAAGTTATTATTAACATTTTATTTTTATTATAATATATTTAAATATTTTAATTTTAAAAAATTAATGAATAATAATTTAAAGTTTTTTGTTATTTTGAATAAGATATAAAAATATTAAATTAAGATAAATAGTTTAAGAATGATTTAAATTATTAGAAATTTTAAAGAGAAAATCTCCGTGCTTAATTTAATTAATAAACTATATATTTTTTATTTTTAAAAAAAGTTTATATATTTATCATTAATTACATATGTAAGGGATTAAATTTTTTTTTTAAATATTACATATATTCTTCTTAAAAAAAAAATTATTCCCTCAAATTTTGTTATCTTACCTCCGAACAATGTTGGATAATTTCGTTTCATCTCGTCCTTCCGTTTTCATATTGCCTCCTCCGTCGCATGATGCTTCCATTGTATCTTCACTATAGGTATCACCCTGTTTCTCAACCTTCTTTTTTGTCGTTGGAGAACTCGGATTGACTCTTTTTCATAAGACCAATCACTTTCCAATGGTAATGATTCCCACCTTAAAATATGGTTAGAATTCGGGTGATATTTTTGTAGCAAGGATATGTGAAACACATTGTGAACTCTACTATACTGAGGAGTAAGCACTACCTTGTACGCAACCACCTCCACCTTCTCCAAAATCTCAAACGATCCTATAAATCGGAGACTTAACTTTTCTTTCTTTTCAAACCTCAATAAACCTTTCAAACCTCAATAAACCCTTGGGAGATACCTTCAGGAATACATGATACTGCATTCAAAATACAAATGCAAGCAGTTCCCCAAAAGTAAATTTTAAAGGAAAAAAAAAAAATTATACATATATATATATAATCTACCAGGATGTTTCTAAATGTTAACATCTCACAACAGTTACTCCTTCCCAAAAAGAGCTGCAGACCCATTTCACAATTACAGATTATGGAGTTGCCATTCTCTCCTTTCATCTTCTTCGAATGCTTTCTGCTCTTCCTCATTTCCTTACTCTCTATCGCTCATTCCTTCTCTTCAATCCACCCACTCTGCCATGATGAAGACCGCTCTGCTTTACTGGACTTGAAGCAAAGCCTGACTGTAGGTAAGTGTGTCAACTCTGATTATTTTGGAAATCAAGTTTCTGGTTACCTAAACCTACTTCATTCATGGAAGCTTCGAGGAGGGGAAAAAGTTGATTGCTGCTCATGGAAAGGTGTTTGAGTGTGACAACAAAACAGGATATGTAATTGGCCTTGATCTCAGCCATTGTTGTCTCCACGGTTCTATCAACTCAAATACCAGTCTCTTCCGTCTTCTCCATCTTCAAACCCTTGATCTTTCATTTAATAACTTCAGCAACTCTCGTATACCATCTGCTTTAGGTAATCTTTCACATCTTACATATCTTAACCTTTCTTCCTCTGCCTTTTATGGCCAAATACCATTAGAACTATCCAACTTGTTCAGGTTGAGTTCGCTTGATCTGTCTTGGAACTCATTAAAAATTCAAACACCAAGTCTAAAGAGCCTAGTTTGGAACTTAACTAGCTTGAGAGAACTCCATCTTAGTTCTGTTGACATGTCATCGTCAAACCTTGATGGGTTAGCAAATTTGTTGTCTTTGACATCTCTCCATCTTGCTTCCTGTGGATTGCAATGTGAATTTCCCACAGAAATTTTACCACTACCAAAGCTACAGGTTCTTGACTTAAGCAACAGTTTTGATATATGGGGTCATTTGCCAGAGTTTCACCCGAGTAGACCACTCAGGTCATTGAGGCTGGGGAATACTAGATTTTCCGGTGAGCTACCTTCTTCAATTTGAGGCCTTACTTCATTAGAAGAGCTGCATATTTCTCTTTGCAGTTTCTCTGGTCGAGTTCCTTCTTCACTTGGTAATCTAACTCAATTCAGATATCTAGGCCTCTCATCAAAAGGGCTTCTCAAAGGAAATTCGTCTTCCTTTTCACGGGTGGCCAAGCTCAACAAACTCATTTTTTTGGACCTTTCTTCCATGCTAGATGGTGAGGTTCCCCAGCTCACAAACCTCACCCAGCTAACTCACTTGGATCTTAGCCGTAACAGTTTGACTGGTCCAATCCCTTCTCAGCTCATGAATCTTACTCAGCTTACTTCTTTGCAATTGGGAAATAATCAATTATCAGGTCCGATCCCATCTTGGCTTATGAACATGAGACATTTGTCTTCTCTGTGGCTGAGTTCTAACCAACTCACAGGACAAATTCCTACTCAAATCATGAATCTTGCCAATTTAGTTGAGCTTGTGCTTTCATCAAATCAATTGCAAGGATCAATTCTAATTTCCGTCTTTGAGCTGAAGTATCTTGAGCTTCTAGACCTTAGTTCAAATTAATTAAATGGAACGATCGAGCTAGGCATGTTTGTTGGGCTGAAAAGTTTGAGGAGATTCTACCTTTCCTCCAACAGTATTGCCCTTGGCACCAACATCACTACACATGCCAGCTCGAACAAGTTCCTTCATTTAGGATTGGGTTCCTGCAATCTGACTAGATTTCCAGATTTCTTACTCATCGAACAATATACATGGGAATATACCTGAATGGATCTCCAACATGAATACCTTAGCATATCTGAACCTTTCATAAAATCATTTAACAGGATTCACCCAACAACCTTTGTTCTTCCATCGTCTTTATTTGAATTAGAACTTCGGTTCAATCAGTTGCAGGGATCTCTCCCACCTGTGCCAACTTCAAGTGGGTTTATATACTTCCCAACAACAAATTGACTGGTGAAATATCATCAACAATCTGCAATTCAGAGTTTATTCTTTATATTGATTTGTCTTACAACAACTTGAGTGGAACGCTGCCAGATTGTTTGGGTAATCTTAAATATCTATTGGCATTAAAGTTGCCTGGCAACAGATTGCATGGAAGGATTCCGTAATCATTTGGAAATGCCACTTCATTGGAGATGATGAATTTAAGCCAAAATAACTTGGAAGGGAAATTACCAAGATTACTGACTAAATGTACCATGCTTCAGTACCTTAATTTTGGTTACAACCAGATCAAAGATACTTTCCCTTCTTGGTTAGGCGCTCTTCCAGAGTTGCAGGTTCTTATCTTGAGATCTAATCACTTTTATGGGGAGAGAGGTTACCTTGAATCTAATTCTGAATTTCCCAAGCTACTCATCATTGATATGCCCTGCAACAATTTCACTGGAAAGTTGCCAACAAAATACTTCCAGGTTTGGCATTCCATGAAAATGGTCAAGGAAGCAAACATAAGCTATATGCACGGAGATATGTTTCTGGCCCTTAGTTCAAACTTCACAGCCTTCACAGCCTTCACAGCCTTCACTGATTATGATTACTCATTGAGACTGAGGAACAAAGGCATGACCATGGAAGACAAGAAGATCCCAAACGTCTTTAAAGGTATTGACTTCTCAAGCAACAGATTCGAAGGAGAAATTCCAGCTTCCCTTAGCAATCTACAAGGACTCAATTTCCTCAACCTATCTAAAAACAAACTCTCTGGTAGCACCCTTCAACTTTAGGAAACCTGAAACATGTTGAATCCCCGGACCTTTCAAACAACGAGTTCTCGGGGGATATTCCAGCAAACTTAGTGTGACTCACCTTTCTGGCTGACTTCAATATTTCAAACAATCATCTAACAGGTCCCATACCACAAGGAAAGTAGTTCAGTACCTTCCAAAGCAGTTCATATGATGGAAACTTGGGATTGTGCGGCAGCCCTTTGCCAACGAAATGTGCAGATTCAAAAGCTCACCAACCCATCGAGATTCAGGGACTCGGTCCTGGTTTGATTGGAGAATAGTTCTGAGTGTGTGTTTAATCGGTCTGGTGATTGGAGTTCTGGTTAGCCTCTGGTTTACCACAAGAAAAAGTGAATCGTTTCCAAAGAATTCTCCGAAGTGGGTGAACATTAATAAGTAAATCAACAAATAAATGCGGGTCGTCTTGTTTCCATATATCATCTGCCTATTAGATTTCATTTGTTTTCTACACAAATTTGTTCTTCTGCTATTTCTTAATGTGATTGCTTTAAATTTGACCGCGTTAACCCAAAAAGACTGTCTGATCTTACATTGTTCAGAAAATATTTTAGCTCCTCTGCTGGTAAAGGATGACTGCTTCAGCCCTCCATTGAATGAAGTATCTGTTCTTCTTCAAAAGAAAAAAGATATTCTAGTAGTAGGACCATCATTCGTCACAAAGTTCTACTTTCAAAACAAGTGAGATAGTCGTTTGCAAGCCTACATGTTTCTGCAGTCATTGGTCAAAGTTATTAAGCATTAAGCAAGACAAGACAAGGAAGTATGTGGTACGTAAAGCTCCGTTCATATTAAGCACCTTCAATTGTTGGCAAGTCCACAATAGTCATAATAAGCATTTAAGCAGGACAATACAGGCAACCACTTGTCATTTTCTGGACAAGAGTCGAGCTCTTTCTATAAGGAAATATCCAAAGGGAATCCAGGCAACGACTTCTTTAAATGAGTTGGTAAACAAATAAGCAGATTAGTTAAAGATTATGGAGTTGCTGTGGTTTCACTTCATGCTCAAGTGCTCTCTTCTCCTGCTAAATTTTTTACTCTGCAACATTCTCTTCTCTGCCGCGGAGTCACCATGCCATGATGGCGAGCGCTCTGCCTTGCTGCAACTCAAACAAAGCTTGGCAATAGGTAACTGTGTTACATCCGATGCTTATCCAAAGGTTGAGTCATGGAAGCTAAAAGGAGGAAGTAATGAGTGCTGCGCATGGGATGGCGTTGAGTGTGACAAGCAGACAGGTTATGTGATCAGCCTTCACCTCAGCAAGAGTTGCCTCCATGGTTCTATCAGCCACAATAGCAGTCTCTTCCACCTTGTCCATCTCCGAAGGCTTGATCTTTCTCTTAATGACCTCAGCACATCTCGTATACCTTCTACTATGGGCGATCTTTCCCAGCTTACATATCTTAACCTCTCGTTTTCTGGCTTTTATGATCAAATTCCATTTGAACTATCCAAGTTGTTCAGTTTAACTTCCCTAGATCTATCTCGGAATCCATTAGAAATTCAAAGACCCAGCCTAAACAACCTACTTCAGAACTTAACAAGCCTGAGAGAACTCGATCTTAGTTATATTAACATATCATCTACAGTACCTGATGTATTAGCAAATTTATCGTCTTTGACATCTCTCAAACTCCAGCTTTGTGAATTGCATGGTAAATTCCCCACAAACATTTTCACGTTACAAAAGCTACAGGTTCTGGATTTAACCTACAATTTTGATCTATCCGGTCAGTTGCCAGACTTTCAGTTGAGCAAAGCCCTCAAATTATTGAACCTCGAAGGCACAGGATTTTCTGGTGAGCTACCTTCTTCAATTGGAAGCCTCACTTAGAAAAGCTGGATATTTCTTCTTGCAGTTTCTCTGGTCGAGTTCCTTCTGTACTCGGTAATCTCACTCAACTCACTTATCTGGACCTTTCATCAAATTATTTTCAGAATCGAAAAGCTTCTTCCTTTTCATGGGTGGCCAAGCTGACCAACCTTGACCATTTAGGCCTTTCTGGTCTGCTAGATGGAGAGCTTCCTCCGCTCATGAACCTGATCCAACTTAGTTTTTTAGATGTGAGTCGTAATCATTTGACTGGCCCAATCCCATTCCAGCTCATGAACCTTACTCGACTTACTTCTTTACACTTGGACAAAAATCAATTAACCGGTTCAATCCCTTTGTGGTTCATGAAATTTCCCAAACTTGCGGAGCTACAACTGGAACACAATCAATTATCAGACCCCATCCCATCTTGGCTTATAAACATGAACCAACTCAGTTCTTTATGGCTGAGCTTTAACCAACTAACCGGGCAATTTCCGCCTCAACTTGAGAACCTCACCAAATTAGTTGAGCTGGGACTTTCATCAAATCAACTAGAAGGCCCAATCCCGAGTTCCATCTTTGAGCTCAGGAATTTGAATCATCTGGATCTCACATCAAATAAATTAAATGGTACTATTGAACTACGCATGTTTGCTAGGCAAGAAAATTTAAACCAATTATATCTTTCCTCCAACAACATATCCTTAGTCAGCAACATCACTGCACAAGCCAGCTTTCCCAAGTTTGTTGCTTTAGGATTGGGTTCGTGCAAACTGACTGGATTCCCTGATTTCTTACGCAACCAGGATGAGTTGGAATGGTTAGACCTTTCCTCCAACAATATACATGGAAAAATACCTGAATGGATCACCAACTTAAACTTCTTGCAGTACCTGAATCTTTCATATAACCATTTAACAGGTTTTGAGCAAGACCCAGTAGTCCTACCATCACTTTTATTAGATTTAGACCTGAGATTCAATGAGCTACAAGGATCACTCCCACCTTTGCCTGATTTTAGCTTATATTACCTAGTATCAAACAACATATTTACTGGTGAAGTCTTATCAATGATTTGCAGCTCAAAGACCATTGCTTTTCTGGATTTTTCAAATAACAACTTGAGTGGCATGCTGCCACAATGTTTGGGCAATCTTGATTCTTTATCAGTATTAAGGTTGAACGGAAACAGCTTCCATGGAAGAATTCCTCAATCATTTGCAAATGCAATTTTCTTGACGATGTTGGACTTAAGCCAAAATCAGTTTGAAGGGCGATTACCAAGGTCGCTGGCTAAATGTACCATGCTCCAGTACCTTAATTTTGGGCACAACCATATTACCGATTCTTTCCCTTCTTGGTTAGGTACACTTCCAGAGTTGCAGGTTCTCATCCTGCGATCTAATCAATTTCATGGAGAGATAGACAATCCAAGAACTGATTCGGAATTTCCGAAGCTACGAATCATTGACCTATCCTGCAACAGTTTTACAGGAAAGCTACCAACAAAATACTTCTAGGTTTGGCATGCTATGGAAGTGACTAATAAAGCAAATATAAGTTATATGAACGAATCTCTGATTCCACCTTTTGTTTCACGATTCATAGAGTCTACTGCTTATGATTACCCGTTGATGTTGAATAACAAAGGCTTGGATATGAAGTACAGCAAGATCCCAGATGCCCTTAAAGTCATTGTTCTTTCACACAACAGATTTGAAGGAGAAATTCCAGCATCCATCGGGAATCTAAAAGGTCTTAATGTCCTCAACTTCTCCAACAACAAGCTCACTGGTAGCATTTCCTCCTCGTTGGGGAACCTGACAGCTATTGAATCGCTGGACCTTTCTGGCAACAAACTCTCAGGGGAGATCCCTGCAGAGTTAGTGCAACTCGCCTTTCTTGCTGTCTCCAATATCTCGAACAATTTTCTCACGGGTCCCATACCACAAGCAAAGCAGTTTAGTTCCCCATTAGTTCATTTGCTCGGAACTTGGGATTGTGTGGAACGCCTTTGCCAAAAAAGTGTGCAGTGTCAGAAGCCTTGCCATCAGACCAAGATTCAGAATCTTGGTTCCAATTTCATTGGAACATAGTTTTGAGTGGGTATTTAAGTGGCCTGATAGTTGGGTCTTTCGCTCACTACTTTACCACGAGAAACCATACCTTGCGTCCAAAGATTTCTGCAAAGAGACATAAAAGAAAAGGAGGACAAAGGAGGAGGCAGGAAAATTAAATTTAAGCTGTTTCTCATAATCCGATCCTTTGAAGACTTACGGCGGCCACAGTTTATTACTTCCATGCATTTGTTTTTCATTTCTTTTGTTTATACTCACTTGAATCCATCTGGCCGTTGCCGTTGATACCCTTGGTTTAGTGCCTGGTTAAGCTTTGTCTCCACCAAAAAGATATATCATGTTAATGCATCCCTATTTTGGGGTTATGGAGATAAAACCTGACAGTTTAACCTTCACATTTAAGATATATGTTTGGTGTACTGTCTGTGAAGTACTTGTAGATCAAACCAATGTGAAATACACTTTGTTTTATTAGTGTATTAATTAAAATAAATCTCTCCCATCAATTGGTGAAATCAATTTAATGTTTTGGATTTGTTCTAGTAAATTTGACAGTGAAACTAATTGCCAAGTGATGGAATAGAACGGAATGGAATGAAATGAAAATAAAACCAAACTTGAAATATTTTTATCTTGTTTGAAAGAACAGCAGTACAAAATGGAGTCAAAAAGTTTACTTTATTTAAATAAGAAGCTAACAAGAGGGAATCTAAAAGTTCTTAATGTCTAAGAACCATACCGTCATGAAAAAGAGAAGAGATGGGCAGAGATAGGAATATAACGTTTTAAAAAGAATTAGGAGAATTTATTGAGATGCCACAGTAGAGGGTCATCAACTTTTCTTTCCTTTCCAATTGAAGGAGACTATTTTAACACAATGTAAGGAATAAAGGTAAACTGTGCTTCCTCATTCCCCTTCCATTTCGTTACTAAAATCTCTCTCAGACAAAGTTAAATAGTTGTTCTTCTAAATTTCCCATTTCAACCCTCACTCTCCCTCTCCCAAACATACACTAATTGCAAGTCAACACAGAACTTAAAACTTTCTAGTATGTTTTATCCTTTTTAAGAATATGTCCTATTCTCTATTATAATGATGAATACTTGAAAAGGCTAAATTTGGATAATGAGAATAAAGACTTTAACAATAAAATCCTACTTGATACAGATATTAATCTGTGTTTATGTAAAAGAATTAAAATAAAAAATTTCGATCATCTAGTTGAACAAGTAATTATCAGATAAACCACGCCAGTCTTCTATAATCATTAAGACTTTTCATGTTATACTTCCAGTATCTTATATAAAAATGCTACAGTCGTCTGTACAGTTTGGAAGAAGTCCTATAACCTACGTGATAATAGACATTGCAAAGAAGCGATCCTACGTGAGGCAGCCATTACTAGTCCTTTCCTTTAACGACTATAATCACTCTCTCCCCGTCTCTCTTGATGACTTGACCGAAGATTTGTGAAGTAGCGGCCTCCCCTCACCAGGGGATTAATTACTACCTCCACTCAAACAATAACCCTCCCCTGAAAAGGATTCCGGTATTTCCACCTGACCAGGTGTGTGGCGCATGACCGAACCACAATTTCTCCGCTAAATCACCCACCGATATTATTTTTACTGTAATTATAGCACCTTTCTTCCTCCCCGACAGACCTAATACTTACAGTGTATTGCGTGTGAAATCTAATCACATTCGAAAAAAGAAAAAAGAAAAAAGAAAAAAGAAAAAAAAGAAGGCGGCGTGAAATCTGATAAAAGGCTAGTGCAAGAAATTACCACACCACCGAAACCAAAAGCCTGTGACTAGAGGAGGAGGGGTCAACCCTAGGCGATGAAGATGGAGAAACAGGGTTGGGCATACCGATCAGCGAGACATCAACGGTCTCCTTGCTCAGAAGGCAGGTTCCCGCCTAAATGGAGATTGTTTCCAGCCACATATGGAATCAGGATGCTCATTTCAATTTAGTTTGGGATTTTTTCAAATTAGAAATAAATAATTTTGAATTACGTATTTAATATCTATAATTTAATAATTTTCCAATTAGAGTGCTAATAGAACTAAATTATATTTCCTTAATATTTTTATTCATTAAACAAAATTTACTTATATAATTTGACAATAATAAAAGATTAAAATTCTATAGTAAAAAATAATTAATAAGATAATCATTTTGATAATAATAAAACAAAATTCTAGATATTATTAAACTAAATTAAAAATTAATAATAAAAAATAAAAAATAAAATGGCCCACAAGTGGACTTATATTAAATCTAATGTAATGGATTAAGCTAGATTGGGCCCATCATTTACTAATGTTTTGAGGTTTTTAAGTAGGAATTATAAATTTTCTTTTCTTGCTTCCGTGCTGTATAAGTCATGATGCAAAAATGCAAGGAATTAAAAACAAGCAGACCTGTAAAAAAAATATATATATATATATATCAAACAGTAAAATTTGGCAGCATGTAAACATCATTTTGCGAGTTGAATTTTAGAAGTTTCTTAACAAAAGTACCCTACAAAACAAGGAATGCCCAACAAATCTTCTTCCCAAACACCACCACCACCCCTTTGAAAGACCCAACCCACATTAGAAAATATATATACTAATTCAATTTTCAAAAATCCCAAATCAGAAGTTCTTAATTAGATTCCATGATGGCTCACTTCAAGCTAAGAGAGCAGTTGGAAGCAAGATGTCATTTAATGTATATATGTTTGTATATATGGATTTTTTGAACCCTGGCTGCTGGCTGTAATTTCATTGTTTTCTTTTATAGGTCCTATTCTGTTTACCTTCTATCTACTTGTTCTCTTTTGATTTGTTTACTTTGCTTATAAGCTTTTAATCATTTTTATCTACTCTCCTTTTCAATACATGTATGTATGCTTCACATTCATGAAACAAATGCTTAATCTACTCATTTATATATTATAAACATACATGTATCTCCTTGACCCGGATCATATAATTTGATTACTTTATTCAAAAATTGTTATTAGTTAATGTTTTATATTATAACATCGATACTAATGAATACCTCCTGCAAAGAACAGAAGGAAACCGGCCAAACATGTAAATCTAAACACAAGGGTGTCTGTGTTTTCTTTTCATTTATATATATTATATATGTGCACGGTCGGGGAGGAATTAATATGTTAAGAAAATACTGTAATACGTGCCTAATTATGATTTGGGATTTAATTACTCAAATTTACCACAAAACCAAACTTACTAAAGCCACAGCTATTGTTCTGTGTGTACGAAAAGAAAAAATTAAGAAAAAGTAAAATATATATATATATACAATCAACATAATCAACGCCGTATTAAATATTAAATATTGCGAAATAATTACAGAACTACCACACAAAAAAAAAATCTGAAAAATGTTGTGCTGCTGATGAAAGTGCCAGTGAAAAAAAGAAAGAAATGAAGAATGAGGAATATGCTTTTCAATGGAGAGAAGGCTGTGAAAGGATGTGTCCAGTGGTCATATATAAACAAATGAATCGGCAGATTTTCAATAACTTTAAACCGTGAAAAAGAAAGAACGGGTTAAATGGGATGGCAGTGAAGCGTCAAATTTGATGGGTCCATAGTACATTTACTGGGTGTTTTTCTGAAGAAATATATACTGTAAATTACAGGACTGTTCTGATGATCTGAAAAATTGCAAATGGGTGAATGTATGGGCTGACGAAATTAGTGAAAGAAACTCTCTGATTATGTTTGTTGACCAATTTGGCATGTGGCACAGTGGCACATACTTTACAAACAACAAAGTACAAATCATCATAGTCGTCGAGGAAGTTAGTGAGCTTGTGAAAAATATAAAAGATATATATGTATATATATACACACACACACACGAGACGAAAAAAGAGAAAAGATGATCATGAGAAAGAAGCAGCAGCAGCAGCAGAAAAAGAAGAAGAAGAAGGAAAAATTTTAGCGCACTTCACGGGTTTCTTCTTGTAATCTTGCAATTATCAAATTCCTCTTATCAGAAGAGAGAATAGGGAATAGTGCAATATTACAGCTTCAAATGCAGTCCAACAGACAACGCCAACACAATACAAAACAACACCTTATACACTCTCCTCTCATCTAATTCTCTTCTGACGTATACATACACACACACACACACACACATACATACAGACATACATATATAGGTGTATACTCATCTGGGTTGTAGAGAAAGAGAGGAACCCTATATGGATATATATGATCTCAACTAGCACCCATCTGGGTCTTGGTTAACTACATTATATAACCCAGATTTTCCGATAATTTTTTTTAATCAACTTTAATTTATAGCACTAAGTTTAACTAGTGTGAATTTTCTAACCATTTTTAAGCCTTGATATTTAAATATGATAACGTATATGGAGAACAGTCTCGTACAACAAAACAGTTTTTACCCAACATTTTTTAATTAAAAAAAATCTCAAGTCAATTTCAGCCTTTTTTTTTTTTTTTTTTTTAATATATATGTTGATGATATAATATGATTAAAATAAAATTATGATACATGTCATGTATACATATACATATACACATATATATATATATTGTATATGCTTTCTGTCTGAGAGGGAGTAGAGGGGTGCTTTCCTTTCTGAGCCAAAATCCAACACCCAGGAGACAAAGCAGAAAATAGTTATCATCTCTTGCTTTTCTTTTTTTTTTTTTTCCTTTTCTTTTTTATGCTTTGGTTGGTACTCATTATACATTATTATTTGAAGAGGAAACTTGCATAAGATGCTTTTCATCATTTGATGGGATCACCTACCTCTTTTGGGTTTCCACAAAATAAGGAAAATTATTAATTAATTTTAATTATCATTATAATTATTATACCTTTTCTCGAAGTATATGTAAATAGTGTAGTGCTAATTTAGGAAAAATTAATGTTTGAGTGATTGATTAGTGATTAGTGATTAGTGATTATTGTTAGCCGGGCGGGCAGTCACTTGTCAGGTTCATTTTGATAGTTTAACAAAGAGACGTACCACGATCTCCTCCCAAATCTAGTTAATTAGATTCTTAATTAGATAAAAGCAGATGGAAACAAATATTAAAAGTTCAAAGCACTCAACCATATCATGAATGGATTGACCAGAGCTTTGCTACAGAATCAGAAACAACCAAACAAGGAGTTGAGAAAAAAAATTCCCAAGACGTACAACATCATTCGAGTACTGAGATCCACATCCATTCCCCTCAACTATATTTATATACATATATATATTATATATGTATACAGCTGTATTATTGTAAGTATATGAAGATCCCTTTGCCTATACTATTTTTATAGCTGGGAGGCTATGTTATTAGCATGATACATATATATATATATATATGCGGTGAAATAAAAGTATTGGTGAGGGTAAATATAGGGAGAGAGGTAAATAAAAAGTAGTGTGGAACGAGAAAAAAGGAAGTTATTGAAGAATGAAAAGAACAACAAAAGTAAAGACAAGAAAAAATACAAAAAAGGGAAACCCGAAAAACAATACACAAAAAAATTAATCAAATGAAAGGAAAAAAGCATAGCATTGGTTCCAGTTCTTTGCTTTGGAATTTTTCTCTTGGCTCTTTCTTCTCCCCTCTCGATACCCACTTATATACTATCTATCTCTCCCTCTCCCTTTCTCCTCCCCTATCAACCCATAAATTTTTACTATCTCCCTTCACACCCTTTCACACACACACACACTCTCTCTCTCTCTCTCTCTGTATTCTGTATTTTTCAAGAAGAACAGAAAAAACAGAAAGACCTACAGAGGAAGCTCAAAAACAAGCTGTCTCTCAATATTCTCACCACCTTGGCAATTATAAGCATATCTCTCTCTCTCTCTCTCTCTCACTGTGTCTGTCTTTCTTTCTATCAAGTCAAATCCCTTCAACTTCACGTTACTCCTAAAAAAACAAAACACACTCTATTCACACATCACTCTTCTATATATATATATATATATATATATCCATCTATACTTTCTCTCTCCGCAAACTCACGCACTATACACACATCACCTCACACCAACAATCAACCATGCTGCTGCTACAAACTCCTGATGATGCCCATCAACCGGAGACCGATAACAATTTTTCAGCCTATCGCCAAGAAGACAGAGAGAAGAGACGGAAGTTTTGTATCAATGACCACGTTGACATCCTCGTCGAGATACTCCGCCGCCTCGACGGCCGATCTCTGGGCGTGGCCGCCTGCGTCTGCCGCCTCTGGTGCACCATTTCCCGCAACGACTCACTCTGGGAAGATCTCTGTTTCCGCCAAACCTCCTCGCCGCCTCTCTCCGCCGCGTCTCTCCGCCCCGTCGTCGCCGCTCTCGGAGGCTACAAGCGGCTCTACCTGGTCTGCTTCCTACCTGTCCTCACCCGCCTCTCCCGCTCCGGCCGCCTCGCGCGACTCCTCTGGACCCGCGACCAGGTCCAGCTCTCCCTCTCCCTCTTCTGCGTCGACTGCTACGAGCGGCTCGGCCTAAGTTCCGGACGCCTTGCCGGCGAAGTGTCCGGCGCCTCCTCACTCATGTTCCTGTGTAAGCCCGTGAACGTTTGACTCCCTGGTCCTCCCCTTGTTTTCTCGTCCATGAAATCGGCAGTTTTGACCGATCAAGAAGCAGACAGAAGAATAACAGAAGCTGCATGCAATTAAATATTTTCCTTCCCTAGCTGCTGCTACTACTATACGTTATTGCTCCTTCAATTTATGGCTAAATGAAATATTCTTTTCTATAATGTGATTATTTTTGTGATTACACTTACATGATAATTAATTAAATAAATAAGCATAAAATATTTGTGTCCATTCTTTTTTAAATATAGAATACTTATTTGTGATTATATGTATGCTTCAACAAAATTGAAGTTTGTATGTATGTATGTGTGTGTGTGTGTAGAATATTAGGAAAACTTAAAAAGTTTGAAAAGGACCACATTAATCATAGGTGGACGATATGTTTCTTTTAGGGTATGGAAATCTTTGTCACGGGTCCTCGGGTACCCTCATCCAATACAAACAAATTTAACTCGGAACAATTATTATTATTATTTTTTTTACTTATTAGCCGTTGGATTTTACTTTTCTTTCTGTTTTGGGTTCTTTTTCACCATTCATTATGTTTTCATATTAAAAGTAACAAAATTTAAGTCATGACAATGGATTTATTATAAAAAATAAAAATAAAAAACATGATTTTTAATACCTCTTGTTGAAAAACATCTTATATTGGTTAAATTATAAATAAAAAAAAAATTAACTACAATAACTAATCCTATTATGAAATATACAACAGACCCTGATTACAGTATAAGAATATGCAGCATAAATATATATTTATGCATCATGTGGACAAAAACACATCCTATCAAAAGCAATAACTAGTATGCATTAAAGATATGAAAAGTTAGAAAACATAGAATAGGTAGAGAGTTGTAAGAAGTCATGATCATGTTATAAGCTGCTTTAGAAGTTCTGATTGTAACTTGACAAACACCCTTAATTCAACTTGAGAGAGTGGTCCTAGTATTTCATCATTCACTCCTTATGCCCATTTTTCTTTTTCATTTTTTTTTTTTTATCAGACATATGCCTCCCCCACTTTATACATATTTACAATGAATCATTTTTTTTTTTTCAATAATTAAAATACAAATACTTTTGTCAATAAATTTGATAATCATCTTACAAACAATTAATAAGATCACATAAAAAGAAAGTTTTGGTTTTAGTACGCCGACTGCCCTTCACATGTTCACATTTTTATAGGGGGCACACAAGTACATACAAATAAATTTTCAACACAGTGGGCCGGCCCAACAACATGAGCTTAGGCTCTGACACCACCCTTCAATTTGGACACGTTATAATTATACCCACACTTAAAGGGTCACACCAATTTCAAAAAGAAACAAAATAACAAATAGAAAAATAAAAATCGTGCCATCCAAATCCAAATTTAAGTACATCTCTTAATAATTTAGAATGAATTATGTAATACTTTTTTTTTTTTTTTTTTTTTTTTTAAACAAATGATCTAACTACCAAAATATGTTATCTCATAATTAATTATAAATACCATACGTTATTAATTATTTTAATATTCAAAATATTTTATACTTTCACTTGCTATATTATTTAATCATTAGAGTACGAACATTTTTTTGTCATAGAATAAGATAGATATTCAATTAATAATAATTTCGTGCACCATTATTGAAATATTCTCAAATAAATAAATAAATGCAACTTTAGTGAAGGAATTTCTTTTTTTCTTTTCTTCTACGCACCTTAAACATAAAACAAATAGAAAAGAAATCTCTTTACCCTTTTCTTTTTTCTTTTTTTTTTTCTCTCTCTCTCTCTTATTAAAAATAATATTTTACCCAATAAAAATAAACAAATAAGCATTACTTGTAAGCCTTTTGCCGAACTCTACCTCTACCCACCACCAAACACAGCCTTAAGAAATAACCCCCCAAAAAAAAAAAAAAAACAAAATGCAAAATTAAAATTAAAACCATGCGCATGACGCTCCTCGGCGCACAATAGCAACTACCACCATTAAATACTATTAACACCGTTTACTTTCACTGAAAATTATCATTTTTATTATTAATTTTCCTTCATTTTTGATCGGCGATCGACGGAATCCCTAATTCCTCGTCGCCGATTTTATCCCGCACTCAAATCCCTAAAAAGCACTGATTTTCACTGAAAACCCTAATCTCACATCACTCCCTTGTCTGTGCTTGTCTGTGTACCGACTCCTGTGTACTCGCCACTTTGTTTTTTAAAAAAATTTCGGTTTGTGTTTCTGTGTGCTTTTTTAGTACACTGAGATTTACGAACAGTTCACTATCTTGATTTGCTCGAGCTTACCGAGGACACGTGGCGATCTGGGTCTTGCTTCACTTCCATTTCCACTCAAATCTTAGTGAGTCCTTTTTTTTTTTTTTTTTTTTTTTAATTTTATTTTAGCCTCACTTTAATTTTGTGCATAATTTATTTCTACTTCTGTCGAATCGTTGGTTATACTGATTGCTTTTTTGGGTTTTATTTGTTTTGAGATTGGATCTATGCGCATTTGTTTCAGCTGCGAGTTCAGTGGAATTTGGGTTTTGATTTGGAATTTTTGTGCTAATTTGTTTGATTTTGAGCGTTCTTCTATTAAATGTGAGTTTTGAGTAGCTTGATTTTGACGCAGTAACTGTTTGGTTGGTGAGAAACTGAGGAAATGAAGAAAAAACGAAGTTCACTGTCTTATATTTAAGTTGCAATTTATGTCTAAGATATCGAGTAAGTCAAATTTGGCTAACAAACAATTGAAAAAATGTTTAATTTAGCTGATTAGGGCTAATTTTCTCTACCCTGGCTCAAAAAATTAGATATTTTGGAACTGGAGATATTCTTCGCCTCTTAGTTTTTCCCTCTTTGGTTTCTCAACAGTCAAATTAAGCTAAGTTTGCACGTGTTATCGTAGTTAGAGCGAATTCATCTCACTGAATGTTGTATGGCTTGGACACTATAATTGACTTGCAAAAAGATGTCTGCTTGATATCTGTGAAATCTAAAGTTTATCTAACCAATTATTTGCAGATGGTAATGCCATTGAATGTGAAATGGGGCTTCTTTCCCCGTTAAGCAGCTTGAAATGGTGATAGCTTTTAAAAAAAGAGTTTGGTCTTGAAGTGATTGAGGTTTCTACATGGAAGCAAGCAGAGAAGAGGCTCTCAAAGCGAAAGAGATCGCTGAAAAACGATTTGCTGAAAAAGACTTCTTGGGCGCAAAGAGTTATGCCCTAAAGGCTAAAACATTGTATCCAGATTTGGAAGGTATATCCCAAATGGTGGCAACTTTTGAAGTTTACATTGCTTCTCAGGTCAAATGTAATGGAGAAATTGATTACTACTCAATTCTTGGGTTGAAGCCTTCTGCTGATAAGGAGGCAGTGAAGAAACAGTACAGGAAGATGGCTGTTTTACTCCATCCTGATAAGAATAAATGTGTTGGAGCTGATGGGGCATTCAAACTTCTATCTGAAGCCTGGACTTCCTTGTCAGATTGCATTAAGAAAGGATCTTATGATATCAAAAGAAACAAGCAGGCAGGGTCTGGGGTTGTTCATACCAATTCAGCATATGCTGCTGGCACTCCAGGTGTCAGTAGTTGTCCCAATTCATCGACGTCTCTTGGTAGACTTGACACTTTCTGGACTGTTTGCACCTCTTGTAAGGTTCAGTATGAGTATCTGCGAAAATATGTTAATAAGAGACTTTCATGTAAGAACTGCAGGGGTACGTTTGTTGCTGTTGAGACTGGGGCTGCCCCAGTTCATGGTTCTTTTCCTTATTGTCCTTGGTCCTATGTGCCAACAAATGGGTACAGTGGTCATGGATATGATGGAGTACCATATATGCCAGCCAACACCACGTATTTCCCAGGAAATGGAGTCTCAGGTTATCATTCTGGGCATGGATATGAGTACGTTTCAAATGTGTCTTTTCAGTGGAGTTCATTCTCAGGAACTTCCACTGGAATTGTTGATACTAATGGGGTATCTACCATATCCACTGATTCTGTTTATCGAGCCTGTAATGGAGATGCTAATAAAGGAAGAGCTATTGCCAATGGGAAATGTTCTGTGAAGAATGCTGCCACTAATATAATAAACTCAAATGTTTCCAATGGTGGGATTGAATCTTCAGGATTGAAGACCAGCAGACCTGAGAAGAAAAGGAAGGTTGTCATGGGATCTGGTTCTAGGAATGGTTGTGAGGAAAGTGGAGTTAGTTATTCTTCAGAAGCAAAAGTAGCAAATGAGAGTTCTAGTGTTGTGTATGAACCCAAACCTTCTATCCCAAATGAAGTTCCTGCTAGACGCTTCTCAGCTGCACCAGCATTTGATGCAAGAAAATTATTGATTGACAAAGCCAGGGCACAAATTCAAAAGAAGTTGGAGGAGATGAGGTTGGCATCAGAGGCAGCAGCTGCTGCTGCACTAACAGAAAACAGGAAAATGATCTATGAAGCTGCTCAATTCTCAAAGGTCGGAGAGGCATCAGAAAGAAGAGATATGACTGTTTCTGGTGGTCAACCAGGACCAAATAAAAATGGGCCAGTATCAATAGTAGTCCCTGATTCTGATTTCCATGATTTTGACAGAGATAGATCAGAGGAGTGCTTCAAACCGAAGCAAATATGGGCGATTTATGATGAAGATGATGGTATGCCTCGCTTGTATTGTCTGATTCGCGAGGTCATCTCAACTAAACCATTTAAAATTCATATCAGTTACTTGAACTCGAAAACAGATAGTGAATTTGGATCAGTGAATTGGATAGATTCTGGGTTCACAAAGTCTTGTGGACACTTTAGAGCATGGAACTCGGATGTCGTGGATCAAGTCAATATTTTCTCTCATCTACTGAGAGGGGAGAAGGCTGGCAGGGGAGGTTGTGTTAGGATATTCCCCAAAAGTGGAGATATTTGGGCTGTTTATCGAAATTGGTCTCCAGATTGGAATAGATCAACTCCGGATGGTGTGAGGCACCAGTATGAGATGGTTGAGGTTCTTGATGATTACTCCGAACAGCTTGGAGTTTGTGTATCACCCCTAATCAAATTGGCTGGGTTCAAGACAGTTTATCAAAGGAATACTAAGAAGGATGCCATCAGATGGATTCCCAGGAGAGAGATGTTCCGCTTTTCACACCAAGTCCCTTCTTGGTTACTTGAAGGAGAAGGAAGTAATCTGCCAGACAA